CCGGGCTGGGTCGGGGGGGACTCGGGGACCCTCATGCTGAGGACTCTGCTCGGACTCAAACACTGGGGGACATCAGGGCCAGGCTCCTGCTTGGGATGGAGCTGATGGGGGATATGAAGCCCCCTGCTCCAGCCCTCTGGCTTTTTTGCCTCCACTCCTTTTGCCTCTCCCAGAAGGGAGGCAGATGGGGTGGCCGGTGCAAATGCAGCCCCTTCCCCACTGAATCCAGCCTGGATGGGGCCAGGATCTCAGCAGGGAGAAAACCATTTTTGCACATTGCAGCTGAGGCCAGGAGACAGCCAGGTTCCCTTTAGCCCTGTCAAACCCTCAGACCCATAACCTCTCCCCTTTCCTTCTTGCTGCCCCACATCACAGATTTGGGATGGATTTGGTGGCTCCTGCCAACCCCCAGATTTCTCCCACTTTTTTTTCTGGTGTGTGTAGAGGCTGCAGGGTGTCCCTTGAGCAGATCTCCCAGGGAAATCTCAACACCCCGCTGCTTTGCCCCATCCATTGGCTGTAGTTGGGACCGAGACAAGACTGGGGGAGCCCTGGTGAGGCACAACCAAAGCTCCTGTCCCCATCACCACACAACTGGCTGCAGATCTGAACTTAGCTGGGGCTGCAGGAGCAGCATCTCGAGCTGGCAGCTGCGGGGCTTTAATCTGCCCTGCAGCCAGAGCCCACGGGGACCGTGTCCAGCTGGGCTGCGCTCTGCTGCCTTCCCAAGCAAAGCAGGCTGCAAGCTCTCGAGTAAATCCTAGTTGTTCTGCTCTGAGCGCCTCATCCCTCCTACCCTTCTCCATGCTGAATTCCTGGTCCTGGATGGCTACTTTGTGTCTGGCTGTGGCGCCAGGACTTTTCCTGAATTTTTGTCCCCAGCTCGGCAGGATTCTCCTGCTTTCATTGGCGTAGGGACATTGGGTGGCCCCGTTTGGGGTGAAAGCCTTCAGAAAAGGGGTTATGCAGAGCCAGATCGAGTCCAACTTTGCGCTGAATGAACCAACCTATTGACCGAGACTGAGTCTGTTGGAAGGAAACTATAGAGGGTAGAAATTAAATTCCTGGTCCTACAGGAAAGGAGAAGGAGCTGAACCCAAGTATCCTGGGTTGGCACACTTGAGACCTGCTGTAGGATGGGAACTTGGTGCTTTGCAACATAAAGTGAGGGCAGGACCGGCATGGGAACCCTGGAAGGGATGGATGGAGCTGAAGTCCTCCTGCTCTCCTGAAAAGAGCAGTTGGACAAAGATTTTCCCATTTTACAGTAGTTTCTATCCTTCTTTTCTGTTTCTCAAGTAACTGGGAAGCTACAGGAGTGACTTCCTCAAGCTACTCCCTCCTTTTCAAAACTTTTTCCTCTTTCCATCACTTTTCTAGAGAAAAGATAGAGCAAAATTCCCAAACTTTCACACTGAAAATCTTTTTCAAAGTGAGAAATCTTCTGAAACATTTCCATGGGGATACTGTACAGGGAAGGGAGGAAGTTGTTGTTCTTCTCTTTTGAACAAAGACCCAGAGTGTGTCGTTTTTTCTGTTAAGAGCAGATTTTGGTGGATTCTGATGCATGTGACCAGGAAGGGATGGATGGTCTGGTCAGGGATGCTGTGTTTAGGTGAATTTTCCGAGGATAGGGTGAAAGTGACCTCCAGGATTGCCCCTGTCCCACCATTAGCCCTCCTGACCCACTGGTCTGTCCCTGGTCCTGGTTCCTACTAGGCATGGTGGTGGTTTAACCACTCTCCCTGATTTTCCCAGGAAAACAGATAAAATGAATATTGTGAATGCTACAGACTCATTTGTTCTCCCTGTATGACCTAGATGGGCAAATGGGACTTGGTTTCCGATCCGGTTCCATGTCCTGGACCTTGTGCCTTGTTTAGGGGACAGCTCCTAGCATGGTGCCATCATGGGAGCTGAGGTCACCTCATCCCAGCACAGGAATATTTTCCATCCCAGATCCCAGCCTCAAAACTCCAGTCCGGGGAGGTGTCAGGACATACCTGGGCTGCTCTCATGGTTGACAATGGTCAGCTGTGGTCCCACTGGGATGGTATTTGGGACAGCTCCCTCCTGGCCCATCCATAACCATGATTTTGTCCTAAAATGTTCCTTCACCATCCCCGCCCATGAGATTTTATAGTGTCTGACAGGCCCCTATTTAATTAAGAGTTAATTGGGGCCACATGGTCCTCCTGGGATACGATAGCTGTGCACAGCAATTAACACCCTAATCCAAGCCCACAAGCCCCATCACACATATTAAAAGCGGGATTTTCCACAGGGACTTGGTGGGGGCAGTGGTCCCAGGGCTTGGACAGCGCACTTTCAGCAAAGCCGCTTACACACTAAGCTTTATTAAATGAGTCAGGCAAGCTGACAGGATTTGGGGGGCTGATTAACGGGAAACCCAGGCTGGCTTGTGCAGCGCGTCCGTGTTCATTATGTGGCCGAGGTAAATGAGGTTCCAAGCAAATGAGCTCAGGCTGGGCTATCTCTGCAGCAGAGGACCAGTAACGTGATGGTCAAATGTGACCAAACGTGACCATCAGAGGACCAGGAACGTGGTGGTTGCTGCTTCTTGCACTTGGAGGCATGTGGGGAGGGACTGTGGCACAATCAGGCTGGGGTCAGGCTCCAAATAAAAATGTGGGGAGGGAAAAAGCTAAAGCCACGTTCCTAGAAGCCCTATATCTTCCAGGAACAGGCTTTGGTGGCTCCCAATTCAATGCGTTGACTGTGGTTTCTTCATCATTGTTCCTGGCAATGGGAAACCAAGCAAGGCTTCAGCTGCGGGTGATGGGGAGAGACTTGTTCAATGCTGCTTGAAGCCTCTTCCCAGCTTGGGGCTCTCCAGCAGAGATATGGAGGATATGGAGGATAAGGAGGGATATGAGCCCATGTGCTGGGCACTTTCCTCTGCTCTTACCTGCTTCACTAATCCCATGGCGTAGGAAGGATGTGGGGAAGGAAGGGGCTGGGAAGTGATTACTCCCCCACAAAGGCTCTGTGAAAACAAGTCTTTTAATGAAAAACTGTAATAAATATGCCTTGTGCCAGATGCTACAATGATGGGCTCATAATAAAACGCGGATAGACAGATAGATAAGCAGGCAGATTCTCTAGGTACCTTTTTTGGTGGACAGAAACAAGTTGTATCCTTGGAAGACAAGTGTGAGCTCAGTTTCTAACGCACTCCATGTGTTGAACAGCTCTTCTCTGGAATTCGGTAACCTCTTGTCCCTCTGTTGCAGAGATCAGAGATGACAAAGACTTATACCCAGCCCAAAGAGATGGCAGAGCTGGTGAGCACCCAGGCCTGGATGGATGAAACACTGAGCTCCAAGGATGAGCTGAAGGAAGACGATGGCAGGCAAGGTCCCTTTGGACTGATGGCTGGCTTGAATGAAGAACATGACAGCATTGAGGAAGAAGAGGAGGAAGAGGATGACGGGGACAAGCCCAAGAGAAGAGGACCAAAGAAGAAGAAAATGACCAAAGCAAGGCTGGAGCGGTTCAGGGCCCGGCGGGTGAAGGCCAATGCCCGTGAGCGAACACGCATGCATGGTCTGAATGATGCTCTTGATAACCTGAGGAGGGTGATGCCTTGTTACTCCAAGACTCAGAAGTTGTCCAAGATCGAGACACTGAGGCTTGCAAGAAACTACATCTGGGCTCTGTCTGAGGTACTCGAAACTGGGCAGACTCCTGAAGGGAAGAGTTTCGTGGAGATGCTCTGCAAGGGCCTGTCCCAACCGACCAGTAACTTAGTGGCTGGTTGTCTGCAGCTGGGACCACAGACCTTGTTCCTGGAGAAACATGAAGAGAAGTCCCCAGTGTGTGAATCGGCCATATCCAGCCACTCCTTTAGTTACCAGACCCCAGGGCTCCCAAGCCCACCCTATGGGACTATGGAAACACATCTCCTGCATTTAAAGCCCCCAACCTTCAAGAGTTTGGTGGATCCTTCCTTCGGAAACCATCCCTCTGACTGCACCACTCCTCCCTATGAAGGTCCCCTAACACCACCCTTGAGCATCAGCGGGAACTTCTCCTTGAAGCAAGATGGGTCTCCAGACTTGGATAAATCCTACAGCTTCATGGCCCACTATCCCTCCGTCAGCCTGACTGGAACACATGGACATGCCTCTCACTTCCAAAACGCGGTGCCCCGCTACGAGATCCCCATAGACATGAGCTACGAGTCCTACCCACACCACGTAACTGGGCCTCAGCTCAATGCTATATTTAATGAGTAAGAAAGCAAAGTTAGACCCAAAAGTTAGACACGCAGAGAAGCTCAGCCACATTGTGTGACTCTTTCCAGGCTGGACACAGTTGGAGCAAGGAAATCACTGCTACAGGGCAGCGCGAGAGACTTCTGAGCATCTCTAGAGCACATCACTATGAAAGGTCCCTTTGGTCCTTTCCCAACAGGTTTGTACTTGTGCTGTCTTCTTGATTTCCAGAGCTTCTCCTGGAGCTGAGGAACCCCTCCCCTTTGAGAGTAAACCCCCCAAAGCAGCCTTTTCTAGGCACCATGGGAATACTTTTCAGCACAAAAAACATTACTCCCGGGACATACGCTGTGAGGAGCTTGTTCCAGGTACACCCAGCCTGGGGACAGAGGGGTTGTTTCCTTAGCCCTTCTATTCCAAGCTCTGGGGTTGAATCCTGATCATCCGGAGGTGTCCAGGTGCTGAGCTCTGTTAAGAGGAACAGCCACAGCTGAAAGCTGAGCCATTGCGTCCCTTCTGCCAGAGATGCTCATGAAGGTGGCTTCTCCTTGCAGGAATTTCCATCTTTTCCCAACATGAACCCATTTTGGTGGACCACACCTGGGACAAATTGTCTGTTGCCAGTGAATTAGGGCCTGTTTTGCTCCTTCCTGTGTGTGGTGGGCATGAACACACCTTCATCTTGCCACAGGTGAAGATGAGCCCATGAAGTCCCTCAGGTTGACCAGCTCCCCTTCCATGTGCTCTGATGAGACCCTAGGGTGAAGGCAGCTCTGGTTTTCCAGGACAGCCTGCAGTGCTTGAGCTGGGTCTCAGATGTGGGAATGGGATATGGGATCTGAACTACTTATAGGAGACCATCATAGTTAGACCCAAAAGTTAGACACGCAGAGAAGCTCAGCCACATTGTGTGACTCTTTCCAGGCTGGACACAGTTGGAGCAAGGAAATCACTGCTACAGGGCAGCGCGAGAGACTTCTGAGCATCTCTAGAGCACATCACTGTGAAAGGTTCAGCCAGCCCTTTGGTCCTCTCCCAACAGGTTTGTACTTGTGCTGCCTTCTTGATTTCCAGAGCTTCCCCAGGAGCTGAGGAACCCTTCCCCTTGGGTTCCTGAGAGCAAACCCCCCAAAGCAGCCTTTTCCAGGCACCGTGGGAAATACTTTTCCGCACAAAAAGCATTGCTCCCGGGATGTGCGCTGTGAGGAGCTTGTTCCAGGTACACCCAGCCTTGGGACAGAGGGAATGTTTCCTTAGCGCTTCTCTTCCAAGCTCTGTGGTTGAATCCTGATCATCCGGAGGTGTCCAGGTGCTGAGCTCTGATAAGAGGAACAGCCACAGCTGAAAGCTGAGGCATTGCATCCCGGTCCCTTCTGCCAGAGATGCTCATGAAGGTGGCTTCTCCTTGCAGGAATTTCCATCTTTTCCCAACATGAACCCATTTTGGTGGACCACACCTGGGACAAATTGTCTGTTGCCAGTGAATTAGGGCCTGTTTTGCTCCTTCCTGTGTGTGGTGGGCATGAACACACCTTCATCTTGCCACAGGTGAAGATGAGCCCATGAAGTCCCTCAGGTTGACCAGCTCCCCTTCCATGTGCTCTGATGAGACCCTAGGGTGAAGGCAGCTCTGGTTTCCCAGGACAGCCTGCAGTGCTTGAGCTGGATCTCAGATGTGGGAATGGGATATGGGATCTGAACTACTTATAGGAGACCATCATGATTTTTCCCCTTGGAGCTTCTCACCCAATGAAGAACCTTAACTTTGCTGCCTGCGTATCAACCAGGGATGCTATGATGCAGCCAGATTCAGAAATTATCCTTAATGGTCCGTTTGCTGCTCTCCTGACCTGGTCTCTGCTGCCCATCCTGTTCCTGAGCCTTAGACCTTGTTTATTACCTAAAACCAGCATATGAATTTCAACACATGCATCTTGAAACCTCTTTAATGGACTGTTGACCTTTCACAGCACAAATATCTTAGACTTATTAGCTGAAAAAATGAGTGTTCGGCTAAACCTGACTAGGGCCATGGCTTCTTATGGTTTGTAGTGTATTTATTATGATCTGTGATCTGAAGACATCCTGCCAAAAGAAGTGTGTCTTAATTTCCTGTCTTATTTATTATTTACTGGGGTCTAATTTATTTTGTTCCATTTTACATGTAATATGGAATGTGCTAAATAACCTCCTCATTTTCCAATTGACTTTCAAGTGCTTAGTTGGAGTTAGCTTTGTGGAGACATGTGGTTTTTGCAGTGCTGTTGCTCCGGGATTATTTATTAGCCATTATTTATTTAATTTATTTTCTTCCTGCCCTCATGGTCTATTTTCTGGTGATTAAACCAAGTATTTAAGCAGGGAGTTACATATTTAATGCTTAACTGCATATTTAACATTGCCATTTCTCGTATTTTGGAAGCTCTTTGCCTGACTGTGTCCAGCAGCTCCTAGCTTGTCCCTCGTATTTCTGTATGAGCAATAACTTAAACGCTATGCAACTATTTTTGTTTTCAAGAAAATCCAGGCAACTATTTTTGAAATCCTGCTGGCCCTGTGAGCCCAGCTGGCCAAACCTCACTGTTTTACAGAGGTGTTTTGTATAGAGTTGGGAATTTGGAGATGAGTTGTGCTCCAGAGGTCCCTGTCCAGCCCCTGCATCCCAGGGCTTGGGATTTGTTTCCTTTTGTACTAAGAGAAATGTTTATCCTTTTGTAAAGAAAGCAGAATGGGGTTTCTAGCTCAAATAAAGTTGTGATCTTGTTTCCAGCAGCATTGCCCTGTGTTGAATGTCCTGTTGTCACCTTCTGTTGTCTCCATCTGCTGTGCAGCGGTGGCCAGGGGTTGCCCGGTGCCCCTTGGCCATGAGACACTGGTCCCTAATGTAGATGCGGCTGTTCCAACACCTGAGCCATGTCCCAATGGGATGTGGCCTCTGAGCAGACCTGGTGTCATCTACATCCACACTGAAACTTGGGGATGGAGGGTTGCACGATCACAACCCTTCTCCCTTGTGTGACTGGAGTCCCTGATGCCCAACCCAGAGCTAAAAGCTGGTGGAGTCCCATGATATTAACCCGATGTCCCAGGACAAATGGAACCGTGGCTGTGGGCCTGCTTCTTGCCCGGGCCAGGGAGATCCTCTCCTCCCCGGTCACCCAATCCCGGTCCATGAAGAGACATCTCTGGTGCAGACACCTCCACCAAGCAGACCAGCCCTCGCGTTCTCCAAGCTATGTGGTGCCATGGGCCAAACCCCGCGTGATGGCCTGGGCAAAGGATGTTGAACCTGCACAGGGCCGCACTGTTGCCTCTGCCCCTAACACCCCGCCAAGGCAGACGAGTTTTGGTTGCAAACAGTGAGGAATTTGTTAGATGGCTTCAAACCAAGAGGGTTGAAGGGGATGGGGCAGCCAGAAAGTCAGCTGAGCTGCTCTAGGAGCCTGCTTGAGCCTCCAGGGAGCTCAAGGACCATGGGAGGTCCCAAAACTGGGGAAGGGTGACAGTTGGACCTAGTGGGATGGACAGGTACTGTGTGGTGCTGAGCTCAAAGACATTTCTGGAAGGTTTATCCAGAGCTGGGCATAAAAGGCTTTTGCTGGTCATTGGAGGAGAGGCAGAGAAGCCAAAGGGGTGCAGAGAGGATCACAAACAGGAATGGCCATATGCAGGTGGAGCCCTGAATGATATGCATGCATACACATGTGCATGCACCTGCACAGATGTGCACACTCACACCTATGCTTGCACAGAAAAGTGTGCAAATCCTAGGTGCATGTGCAGACACATGCATGTGCATGCATGCAGACAGGCCCTTGCACAGGGATGTGCACACACGCACACAGCAGCAGCTTGGTTCTGCGTTCGTGGCTGTAGAGAGGCAGTGGGATGAGTCCTGCACGTTCTCCGCACACGAAGAGCGCAGAGGACCCAGGCGTCCTGACTTCACCCTGGATGAGCAAGGACGGGGACGAGAGCGGGGCCGCGCATCGCCTCCGCTCAGACCGCTCCCTGCGCTGCCTCGCAGGGCCCAGGAGCCCTCGTTTCCCAGCTGCGCTGAGACCTGAAACAGCTTCTCGCTGCTGCGGGGGCCGCGGCTCCGGCCCCAGCCCGGCGCTCGCGTGGGGACGCGGAGCTCCACGTGCCCTGCACAGCTCAGCGCACCGCGAATCCCGCGGCCCCGCGCGCCGGCTGCTGCGCCGAGCCCGGGGGGAGCTGC